GTTCATCGCGCCCGCAGAATGAGACACTCCTTCCGTGTCTAGCATCAGTTCTCATTTAGACAGCTACCCAAAGATACGTTGTGTAGCTAGAAAATGTGCTTTTTAGCCGGACGTGCAGCGTTCTGTGGCCGATGAGCCGTGCTCCGTCCGCCTGGGTCTTCATTTGAAATCCCTTTGGGTTGAAGCCTCACCCGTGAGTCTGTCGTCGCCCCGCGTGTCAACTCCTCCTTCCCAGGGAAGCCGCACAGTGAGAGCGCTCTCGTTATGTTTTGCCCGACTGCCATCCAGAAACCATCGAAACTACCACCAGCGACGTACTAACAAAGTTTCTGGCGTGTGGTGAGGGCTCGCATGCCAGACGCTTAGCTAAGCGCTTGATGGGGATTATCTCATTTAATCCTCGAGGCATCTTCTGGACCTGATCCTGATTTCATCATTCTGTGTTTGAAAACTTAAGAAACCGAGGGGGCGTTGACTTTGTGCCCAGAGTCGTATCGGCAGGATTAAACCCGCCCGTCTGACCCCAGGACTCTTGACCCTGCTGCAGGCAGGGTAGGAGAAGCCTGAGGCACACAGGCTGTGTGGGGAGGTAGCAGCTGTGTAGCACGGGGGACCGCGGGTCCCACAGCCGGAACAGGGGAGTCCTGGGGATGTGGGGGTATGGTGAACAGCGCAGGGGGCGCTCTACCCAGCAACAGAGCCGCCCCGCTTTGCGGCTGGGGGTGACAAGACCAGTTAACCTCCTCCACCACAGAGCGTGTTCAGCTCTGAGTGGCTATTTTTAGGGTCTGGTACTATGTGCAGTGACAGAAATAATCCATTTCGGTCTTGGAATGGGTCCACTTTTCCTCTAGGGAAGGGCAAGCTTCCTGCCTCCTGGTCAGCCTCCTGGAAGCTCATCCCCATGGCCCCAGAATGCCAGCTCGGGCACCCTGAAGCTTGGCCCCGGGGTGAGGCTGGGGCCCGGACAGGCCTGCCTTCCCTCTCCCCTAGAATGCCAGGGCAGTGCTCTGAGGTCCCGGGGGCGGGAAGCCGCAAACAACTGTGGTTTCCAGATGCTTCTGCTCCCCTGGCAAAGCTCGCCCTTTTGGAAGTATGGTGACCACCGGTCTGAAACTGACCACCGTCAGTGGGTTCTGTCCGGGCCCGAGAGCCAGGAGCGGGGGCCCTGAGGCTGGGAGCAGGGCGGGCAGACCCAGACTGGCCAACGGTTGGATTGGCCTGAAATCCTGTGTTCTCACCCCCACCCCCACGCCCCCATTTGCAGCCTCAGGCTTGGGCTTCTCTCCCCGGGACTCCTCCAAACCTGCCGAGAAAGACTCCCCAGAGCAGAGCCTTGGCCGCACCAGCACCCCTTAGCCATGCACACGCCCAGCGGTTCACCGACGACGCACCTTCCCCGCTGTATCTGCAGCAGCTCCCTGGCAACCTCCCCTGGGCAGGGTGGAGCCAGGGTTTGGGGTTTGTCACTGTCTGAGAGCCTGAAGCCTGTGTCCTCTGCCCTCCTCCCACCTGCTCTCGGGAGATCCCCCCCACCTTGCCCCGCTGGAATGCGGAACTCAGGTCCACGGGGCAGAGGAGCTCCCACCTGCGCGGTGAAGGCCTCACGGGGTCCACTGAGACCACATGAAGGCGACGCCTGGGTGTGAGATTCATGGTGTCCCAATTGGAGCCCCTGCTGGCCCAATGCCTCCACTTTACAGTCCTGGAGCTAAGCCTTG